TTAATAAGATAATTAATAATCTTGTTTAGGGTTAATTTGATTATAATTTCAAGTGATCGCCAATAATAGATTTATTTGTGCATTAATATTCAACCAACATAGATAAACAGGTTTAGGGTTAATCCTATTGATTGCATGTTAATTAAAAAGTGCACATGAATACGATCTGAATAAAGTAGAGGCCTATTATTAGGGCAGGTTCAATCTCTTTTAGGTTGGATTTGTACCTTCATCCCCGAACCCTTATTTGGTTCTAGACCTTATGGAGATGACGATCTCTTGGATCGTTAAGGGGTGTAACCTTCACCCTGTGAACGGTTTACAAGTTCCTAAAACTTGTTGGCGACTCTTTTGCTCTATCTTCTTCCCTTTTGGACGCCACCGTACTTAAGTGTATGATCAAAGTGGGGTTCAAGCTAGTGGGATTAAAGCTTGAAATTATTCCCTACAATTGCAAAGTCAGAATAAAAGTCTCATACATATAAGGGATGATGCCAAGTGCAAATAACATATCCAAGTGCATCACAAGAAAATTAAATGTTAAAACATCAAGGCTGGAAGATCTATTCAATGCGAGTCAAGCCCTTGACATCTCTCAGCCTAAAGTTGGCTCTTTAATCCTTCCGCTTGACCTATTCAAGTGATTCTCTCAACTTGGCCTCCCTCCACTTGGCCTATTCAATCATTCTCTCACCTTGGCCTTCCTCAACTCGACTTATTTAGTAATTCTCCCTTAGACTGGCCTCCCTCAGCTCGGCCTAATCAATGACTTTCTCAGCTTGGCCTATCTTTTATTGGCCTCTCTTTGCTTGGCCTAATGATCACTCTCTTAGCTTTGCATCCCTCCACTCATCCTATTCAATAATATCTTAGCTTGGCCGTGTCTTTGCTTTGCACATTAATTTATTATTGGCCCAAATCGAGCACACTCTTGGTATTTGAAGCAAGGCCCTCGGCCTCGAGTGAGCTTGACCCTCAGCATGATAAGCCAAGCCCTCGCCATCTCTCAGCCTAGAAGAGGCCCTCAACTCCCTTCACTAGGCCTACTTTATGACTCTCTCAGCTTGGCCTCCCTCTGCTCGGCCTATTAGGTTACTCTCTCAGCTTGGCCTCCCTCTGCTCAGCTTATTGAGTTATTCTCTCAGCTTGGCTTCCCTTCGCTCTCCCTATTGAGTTACTCTCTTAGCTTTGCCTCCCTCTGCTCGCCCTATTGATTTACTCTCTCAGCTTGGCCTCCCTCTGCTTGGCCTATTGGGTAACACTATCAACTTGGCCTCCATCCGCTCAGCCTATTGAGTCATTCTCTCAGCTCCACCTTCCTCCTCTTGGGGTATAAAGGTTTTGGGGATATTTTTAAAAGTACCTCGACATGGGGTATAAAGTACTTGGTTTATTTATTAGGTACCTCTGCCTAGGGGTATAAAGGACTTGGTTTTGTTCTCAAATTATCTCCGCCCGGGATATAAGCTTCATGGGTTTTTATTTTTCAAAGCACCGACCTTGACCCAAAGTATAAGCTTCTTGGGTTTTTATTTTTCAAAGCACCGACCTTGACCCAAAGTATAAGCTTCTTGGGTTTTTTATTTTCAGTTGAGTACCTTTGCCCAGGGTATAAAAGCTCTTGACTTTTTCTTCTTCAACACCCAAGCTCTCAGTCTATCTGCATAAAAGAAAAAAAAAATAGCTCATTTCCCTTGGCTTTCCTTCAAGCAATGCCCTCGGACAATGTAGGCCTAGGCTTTCGGCATTCAACTAAGCATACCTCGGCCTACCTTTCGATATATTTAAAAAAAAAAAATTGAAATGAAAAAAATGAAATTTTAGACCAAGTACTTGGATCCGAGGGCCCAGCTTGGAAGCAGCACACCAAGCAACCCTCTCAGCAAGCCCTTCAAGGCCTTCAGCATGCTTATTTATGGGCCCTCAACAAGTCTACTCCCTCATCTCCTCCCTCCACTCATCTTGCCTACTCATTACAACTCAAGAAAATCTCACCTCTCACACAATAGCTCCTCCTAGCTCTAATCTCTCATCCTACCCTTCAGCTAGGCCTCATACCACTTACAAAATCCCTCAGCTCGGCCTTGTTCCCTCGCCTCAGCTATGTGACGAAGTCGAGCGCACAACATATAAAGCCCTGGGATCTTAGTAACCCGAGCGCAAAGCTACACCCAGCTCCCCCCTCGGCTTGCTTGGCTGGGCGCCACCCCTCAGCCGTTCGGCATTCCAAAAAACAACATTATAGCCTGAAAATCCGAGAGCTAGGCTTGATGATTCAAAGCCCTCAAATCTATCTTCTCGAATACAACAATTTAAAACAGAAGAAAATAGTTCTTCTCTTGGCTAGGCCTACCAAGACTTCAGACCTCCAACAGACGAGCAAACCGATTGATATTTTCAAAGAGAAACAACAAGTTTTCCAGGAATTAAAAGAAAAAGTGAACTACTTTAATTATTTGCATAAGACAAATAAAGGAAGAGGGATACGTGTTGTTGAAATGGAAAAAGGGTGGTCCATATCAGTATCTTTAGCTAAATGGGCTCTTAGCTAAGCGTAAGGCTTACCTCTCAATATATTATCAAGATAAGTCATGCCCTGAGCAATATACATGGGGCTCAGCCTGAAGAAAATATTCTGAAAAGGGAAAAACCATCCGTTATCCATAAGCCGTCATCAAGCTTAGCTCTCAAAACTGCTCAGTCATCTCAATTAAAGTACTTTCAATGCATTGCTTGGGGCTGGTTTTTACCCTTGCAAGTTGCTTGGGGCTCATTTTTAGCCCTCAGATACACTTGGGGCTTGTTTTAGCCCTCGCGTACGTCTTAAGATCCACTCCGGCCTATGTGACAGCGTCTCTCATCTTCATTCCGCGTGATATCCGAAACTTCATGCGATCTCGTTCCCATATCATGTGTGGGGCTAAATGTTTGGGCCAAGTCTATTGTCCTAAGCCCATTAACTTGGAATTACAAAAATACCCATGATCCAGCCCATCATTAGTCAGAGCAAAGTACGGATTTACCCCTAATCTGTCCAACTGAGTACAACTTCTGCCACTTGAAAATACATCTATAAATAGCTCTCCAATTATTAATGATGGTAACTTTTTTCTAATTCTCTAACCTTCTCTCTCTACTTTCTCTCTTTAGAAAGTACATGTGCTGACTTAAGAATCAGAGGAGCTTTCCCGGCCCCGGGGCAGCTAACCTTCTCTATTTTGCATGCCGAGTTCTCGGACATCAAGGCGGAGCTCTTAGACAGACCTTTGCTAGGTAGAGCCGAAAAACATTTGGACAATCGGACACAAGCTCTAGGACATCTTGATACCTTACTACCCTAAAACTCCCAGGAGCATTCTATTTCCAGAAACAGGTACCAAAGTTATCAGTTTTTTCCTTTAGCTCATCCAAAGACAAGATAGGCACTTCAATTGGTGGTGCTGCTGACTTCTACATATCTTCCTTTAAAGGTGTTGTTGGCTTTTGGTTCCTTACAGCTCCTATTTTTCACAATAAATGCAGAAAAGTAAGTTTGGGTTCATCAATTCTTTACAAAATTTTTTAAATTGCAAGTAATATTCTAACTCAGCGAAGCTTCTACCGTAGTCGTCGACTATAGATGACTACGGACGACTATGGACGACTACGGTAAGAGATTAAATCTCATCCATTTATTTTTTAATTGACTAATTTTAGCCGTCCAATTCGATACCTCAACAAAACAGTCATCAAGTCTAGTCATCAAGTCATTAACACAGTAATCGAGTCTAGTCATCAAGTCATTACACAGTCATCAAATCTAGTCATCAATTCATTACACAGTCATCAAGTCTAGTCATTAAATAGTCATCAAGTCATTAACTCTAGTTTGGTTAATTAATTTGTTCAAAAGGTTTTTTTTTTTTTTTTTTTTTTTTTTTTTTTTTTTTTTTTTTGCTTCTTTTATACAATTGAACAAAAATATCTTATATTCATCTTCAACCTATATTATCTAAAACCTTCATGTTCAACCTACAACATTCATTCTTCTAGTTCAAAATTAATTAAATTCTTATATTTTATTTAATTTCATAATTAAATTGATCATCATGTAATTAAAATTTTGGCTTCATATAATCGTTTTTCCTTTTATACATGGAGTACAAAATCAATGGAAAACTTCGTTCATAATCTCTTATTGTAGTCTCTTCACCCCCACCCTTTTCAAGTAAAGTAATTTATTTAACGATTCGAATAATAATAATTGTTTTACTATTAGTCAAAATTATATTGTGCTTGAGTTTGATATAAGTTCAAGATTCATCCGCAATTGTTTTTTCATCATTTTTTTTGAATAGCAATCCGCCATTGTTAAAGTTGAATAAAGGTTGAAGATGAATAATATTTTTTTATTTTTTTAAAAAAAATTAAAAACTGAACAAGACGTTTCAGAGGCATGATTTTAGGTAAATTTACTTTCTTTGTTTTATTTTTATTTATTTTTTAAATATAGAGGGTGATTTTTTGGAATATTTTTAACAGGATATATGTATCCTTTTTTATCTCAAGTTTGAAAAAAACTAATTAGCCAAAAAAAATACTCCGTACTGTAATATTATTTACCCCCAAAAAAATTGCTTTTTTTTTTTTTTTTTTTTTTGCAAATAAAAATTGAAACTTACGTTGTGATGGTTTCAAAAAATATAGTTTCCTTTTTTAGGGGAAAAAAACAGTTTCCTTGAATCATGGTAATTGTTTTTCCTAAATTTATCCTTAATTATCTTTGCCGAAAAAAATTATTAAAATAATACATTGTTGAAAGGATATTCAATGGCCATACAAAAATTGTGGCTACTATATTACTTTATGATCTAGACCAAAGGAAATCTTACTTATTTATTTGTTTGACCATGATATATATATATATATATATATATATATATATATATATATATATATATATATATATATATATATATATATATATATATATATATATATATAATCCAAAGCAAAATTAAAGGTGTGATTAGATTTTTTTTTTCTATACACCTTTTTAAAATTAAACACTACATAGGCATGTAGCAATATTTAACATACTTCCTCGCAGCCCAGTGGTAAGAATCCAATTACCCATCCCCCAAAAGCCTTTTTTTTTTTCTTTTCTCATTTTTTGGGCTATTACTTTTTTACTTTTAATATACATAATTAATATCCACCTATAAAAGTTCATCATTGAATACTCATTAAGGGGCCGTTTGGTTCGCACAGGGGAATCAGAATGGAATGAAGAAAGGGAATAAAAGAGATAGGAATGGATTCCCCAAATTTAGCCTTGTCGTTTGGCTATGTCCAGAAAACGGAATGAACTACTCATTGATTCCCTTTGTTACTGTTTGGTTCAAGCCGGAATCAAACTATGAGTTTTTTAATTCTTTTATATTTTTTCCAAAAACCAATATACACGTATACATATATATAAAATCATAGCTTTAAAAAAAACCAATATACACGTATACATATATATAAAATCATAGCTTTCAAAAAAAAAAAATCATAAATCAAGTAAAAAAAAGGTACACAAAATTGTTCTTAGTGCCTAATGTTCGTACATTCAAGAAACCAACATTGGTATATACGAAGTATAACATGAACATTATTATATATTAACAACAAATTAGCATACATTCAAGAAGAAAAAAAAATCAATAAATAACTATTGCTTCAATAAACCCTTTACAGTCAAGTTTATTGAAAAGAAGAGGCATAGAGGATAATGTTATTATTATTAAAGAAATGACACATTTATTTAATAAAGCAAAAAAAGAAAAAAATATAATGGCTTTGAAGTTAGACCTAACCAAGGCATATGATAGTTTGGAGTGGAATGTCATAGAGGAAACTCTTATTGGTTTTAATTTCCCTCCTAATTTTGTCAAACTTATCATATTCTGTATTACTACTCCACAAATTTCTGTATTGTGGAATGGAGAAATAACATCAGAATTTAGACCGTCAAGAGGAATAAGACAAGGTGATCCAATGTCATCTTACATATTTGTTCTGTGTCTTGAGCGTTTATCCTTAATGATTGAGGAAAAAGTGCTTCAAAAACAATGGAAACCAGTCAAGGTAACAAGCTCTATTCATCTTTCACATATTTTTTATGCCGATAATGTTTTTTTGTTTGGCCAAGCATCTAAGTCCAATATTAAAATAATCATGGAGGTTTTAAACAGTTTTGGTAACATTTCTAGTCTTAAGGTTAATCAAGGCAAATCTTCTGTAATTTTTCCCAAAAAAATGTGTTTTAATGTTAGGAAAGATCTAACACAAGAATTTAATTTTTCAGTTTAAACTTCTTTTGGTAAATATCTTGGTGTTCAGATTAATCCTAATAAGCTAAAAAAGAGTGACTATTTTGGCCTTCTTGATAAAACTTTTGATCATATTAAGGGATGGCAATCTAAGTTGCTTAATTTGGCAGGAAGGTGCAGTCTTGTTGAATCAGTCTTATCTTTGTTTCCAGTGTATTTGATGCAAACAAGTCTTTTACCTGTTTCAATCTGTGAGGATATAGAAAGGCATTGTAGGAAATTTTTATGGAACAAGGTTGATAGGACAAAATATACCACAAAGTTAGGGTGGAGTCATGTCACTAAGCCAATGGAAATAGGAGGATTAGGCATTCGAAGACTTAAGTTGTGGAATATTGCATTTATGGATAAATTAGGATGGACTATGTTAACTAATCCATCGAAATTATGGGTTAGGATTTTGAATGAAAAATATTTAAAACATAGTGCCCTTTTTGATTGTCATGCTAACTCCTCTCAGTCACAAATTTGGAAGGATATTTAAAAGGGAGGGAGTTGTTAGCCTCGGGTTTAAGGGTTGGAATTGGGAATGGGAAATCCACTTCTCTATGGTTTCATCATTGGGTGGGTAATGCTCCTTTATATACTATCATGGATGTAGAAGTTCCTAACTCTAATGGTCATTGGGGTGTTGCTCATATTATCAGAAATGGTGGTTGGTACTTAAATGATATTGAACATCTTTTGCCACCTGATATTATTCCTAAAATTAAGGCTACTCCCTTCTCTAAAATTCATGATTTGGATGATTTTATTACTTGGGATCTTAGCAAAAGTGGAATCTTTACAATAAAATCAGCATATCATTTTTTACTTAAGGATTCTTGTTCTGTTTCCCAGAATATTAATTCATGGAAATCATTGTGGAAAATACAAGCTCCTTTTAAGTATAGAATGTTTGCTTGGAATTGTACGCATGCTATTTTGCTAGTAGCTGATACTATTTCTTCTTATATGCCTCTAATTTCCCCAGTTTGCTCTAGATGTAATTTATATAATGAGACTCACATTCATCTATTTCGTGACTATTTTACTTCTTCAATATTATGGAATGACATCTTCGCAAGAGTGTATCAACCCAAGAATTTTGATTTTAAGCTTTTCAAGAATGAAAATTGGAAAGTTTGGTTAAATTATAATTTGGGGTTGGACAATAAATGGAAGTTAATTTTTGTCACTGCTTTATGGCATATTTGGTTGCAAAGAAATGATATGGTCTTTGAAAATAAGACAATTAGCTCATTTTCTTTGTTTACTAAATTCCTTGTGGATTTTCAATTCTCTTTTCATATTTCCCAGGTGGAGGATAAGAAAAACAAGGGTAAAGTAGTGGTTGGGAGTTCTTCAAGTTTGAAGTGGGAAGCTCCTAACGAGGGGTATATCAAGATCAATACCGATGGAGCATGGATGAATTCAGCTATTTCCTCAGGTGGGGGTGTTCTTAGAAGATCTGATGGGACTTGGTATGTGGGTGTCTCCTGCAAATATTCAGCAGTTTCTCCTCTCGCAGCAGAACTGTATGCCCTTAATGATGGCCTTTCAATTGCTAATGATCTAAGGATCAAGAAGGTTGAGGTGGAAACAATTGCTCAGTCCTTGAGGACAATGCTGCTGACTACAGGCCCTAACCCTCATCATGAACTTGCGGCTGTAGTTTGTGATGTGGCTGCAGTTATGGGAAAGTTTGAATCGGTGATCATCACCCATGTTCCTAGGGAGCAGAATGAGCTAGCTCATAAATTAGCTGCTTTTGGCAAAGATATGGCAGTGGGTTACAAAACACATTATCTTGTTCCAGAATGTGTGCATTCTGTCTATGAAGCTGACCTCCTCCATGTTGCTGCGGCACGAAATGTTGCTGTTGCTGCTGCATCAGGAGTTTCGACAGCTTTATCCATGTAGGTTTCTCCTAATCTTTGTTATGGATGAATATGACTTTTGGGGATGTTGGATTTTACTTTTGGGTTAGTGAAATGTAAGGTTAACTGTTATAGGGGGGTTTTGTACAGCAGGAACATCGATTTAGCCTATAGTTTAGGCATTATTTTGGCAAGCATCCACTTTTTTTGTAAATTGTATGTGATGCTTGATGTAATTAACTCAAGGCATTAGCCTCTTAATATAATTATCTACAGTTTGTGTTAAAAAAAAACTATTGCTTCAATACTGTTCGTCACCCCCCCAAAATGAAATTAAAAATAATTAAAAAAAAAAAAAAAAACCACAAAAGCCTTGAAAACGAACAGTGAGTATCAATTTCTAACCACAATTCAACAAAAATTAGGAATCCACCACAATTCAACAAAAATTAGGAATAAGTATAATTTCCCAAAAAATTCATGAGCAAAACAAAAAAAAAAAAAAAAAAAAAAAAAAAGTTGATTTAGGTAGAAAACGTGAAAACAAGAACAAGAACATGTCAGAAGATCGTCGGATATCGTCGCCGGTGGATGTACTATGTCAGATTCTGTCGGATATAGTCGTCGGTGCACGAACTCCGGTGGCTGCCGTGGTGGCCGGAGCTTCAGTGATGGGTGACGATTACTGGGTTTGTTAGGGCTTGTCAGGAGAGAGATAGTGATGGGTAATGAAGTGGGGAATGGGAATGGAAAAGTCTTAGGGGGGGGGGGGTTGGGAAATCAATGTGGAACATATTTGGGTAAACTCAAAAACAAAAATGGGTAAAAGGATTAAAGGAATGATAGAAAGTGACCAACAAACAACAACAAAGTGAATTGGGTCTGTCCATTCCCTTTCCCTTTGATAATTACCCCCAATCAAACGAGCCCTAAGTTCATTTGTCTAGAGTATTATGTTAAGTGTATACATAATAACAAAAAAGTAATTGGGAATTTAGGATGTCCCAAACGATTATAGTGTAGTCTCAAAATTAGGTAGTTCCAATAAGTATTATGTAATCTCAATCAAAATATTTAAAGGTTTATTACAATCAAATTAGGTAGTCTTAATTTAATATTATAGAGTCCCAATAAAATATATATGTGATGGTTATTATATTACAATCAAATTAGGCAGTCCCAATAAGTGTTATGCAGTCTCAATCAAAAATATTTGAAAGTTATTACAACCAAATTAAGCGTTACAATTAAGTATTATAAAGTTCTAATAAATAATATATATAGGTTATTATAATCAAATTAAACGGTCACAATCAAGTTAGTCTCAATTATCTCAATAAAGAATATTTAAAGGTTATTAATTACAATAAAATTAGGCAATTCCAATTAAGTATTATAGAGTCTCAATAAAGAATATTTGAAAGACGTTACAATCAAATTAGGCAGTCCCAACTAAGTGTTACAGATTCTCAATAAAAAAAAATATATTTATAGATTATTACAATAAATTAGGCAATCTCAGTTAAGTGTGTGTATATATATATATATGTATATATATAATCCCAATAACGAATATCTTAAAGTTATTATAATTAATCAAATTAGGCAATTCTTCAATCGATTTTTTTTTTTAATGTTTTCATTTTCTATTTACATAAAATGAAGTAGTAAGTGGAAAGTAGGCCCCTATTTTTAATTTTCAGATATGAGAGTGAAAGTTGAGATAATATGTGTAATGTGGATATTTTATTTACCATTAAGTTAGTAAGAAAAATTGGTAAGATAAAAAAGAACATATAAATCATCAAAAGTTACTCATAAGCTATCAAAAGTTAATGTACACTCAGTTTTTCAAAACATTTGTGTTTAAGATTATATAATTCATCTGACCTTAGCACAATGAGAATTCTCAATCATTACTTAGCACTTTTAACCAAACAATAAGGTTTATAATGTCTTTAATGCTAATTCAATTTTTGGGCACGCCCAAAATAAAATAAGAGGTATCTAAAAGCGAAATTTATACATGATCAATGGGGTGTGAGTTTTGTTCTACGCAAGATTAAACTATTGCAAGTAATATAGGACTAATCAAAATTACTAGTATTATTATGTGTATAAATTTCGATAATTATCCTTCAATTAAAGACATATTGATCTTTAACATTATATTTTGGGACTAAATAGTAGTCGTTTGGGACCTCCTAGCTAGTTGTGTTTATTGTTGGGTACTACATACATGAGTATATGTTTTTGTGTATCTCTAAATTAAGCTAATGAGACTTTGGTTAGACAAAGTAACATTTAGGGTCTATTCACATTTACTGAACTGAGCTGAAATGAACTGAATTGAATGGAGCTTAACTGAATTGAATAGAGTTGAAATAAATATTTTTTGAGAGAAGGAAATTAGGAGTTGAACTGAACTGAACTGATTGGAGCTGAACTAAACTGAACTAAATAGAGATGAAATGAATATTTTAAGAAAGAAGGAAATTAGGAGCTGAACTGAATTGATTGAAGCTGAACTGAACTGAACTGAAATTAGACTGCAGTGAATAGGGCCTTAATCTAGTCAAAACTCAAAAGTACTAAAAACGGTATATGAACTAACCTTATATTTACTTTTTTAATGTTATATTTTGGGACTAACTAATAGTCGTTTGGGAACGCCTAGCTAGTTGTGTTCATTGTTGCGCACTACGTACATGAGTATATGTTTTTGTGTATCACTAAATTAAGCTAATGAGACTTTGGTTAGACAAAGTACCATTTAGGATCTATTCACATTTATTGAAATGAGCTGAACTGAACTGTACTGAATGGAGCTGAATTGAACTTAAATGAATTGAATAGAGTTGAAATAAATATTTTTTGAGAGAAGGAAATTAGGAGCTGAACTGAACTGAACTGATTGGAGCTGAACTGAACTGAACTGAATAGAGCTGAAATGAATATTTTATGAGAGAAAGAAATTAGGAGCTGAATTGAACTGATTGGAGCTGAACTGAACTGAACTGAACTATTAGAGCTGAACTGAAATTAAGCTGAAGTGAACAGAGCCTTAATCTAGTCAAAACTCAAAAGTACTAAAAACGGTATTTGAACTAACCTTATACTTTTGTACTCCGTATTTTTAAAGATATAATTGATCTACTTTATTTTGTTTTAGGTATGCCCAAATATAACGTAGGTATACCCAAAATGTGAAACGATTTATATATTAACCCTTATTTATATATATTACTTTGTATAATTTAGAAGTAAGGTGAGGAAAATAATAGAGTAATATGATACTAATAATAATAGTAGAAATTAAAATTCTATCTTCCAAATTCCAGTTAACCCCCCCTTCTCCGAATCTTATTCTATTTTTTTTTGTTTTTTGATGTAATGCTAAGCTACCATGAATTTATTTACGCTAACTGATTATATAACTAATTTGAACTGTACTCCTAACGTTATATATGATGTGTATGGAAATTTATTGCCAATTTCCCATCAAAAGAGGTTTTGAATGATGGTAAAACAGTACGTCAATGGGGAAACAGTTTTTTTTTTTTTTTTAGGAAGAAGTTATACATCAATAGAGATTTCTTTATTATTATTTTTTTAATAATCTAATGCTAAAAGTTGTTTTCATTAAGATTAATTTTGCAAATACCAAAAAAAAAAAATTGCTTTGGATTAAAAATATATATATATCATGGTCAAACAAATGAATAAATAAGATCTCCTTTGGTCTAGATCAAAAAGTAATATAGTGGCCACAATTTTTGTATAGCCATTTAATATCCTTTCAACAATTTATTATTTTAATAAAGTTTTTCGACAAAGATAATTAAGGATAAATTTAGGAAAAAATGATTACCATGATTCAAGGAAATTGTTTTTTTTCCCCTAAAAAAAAAGGAAACTATATTTTTTAACCCACCACAACGTAAGTTTCTCTTTTTATTTGAATTTTTTTTTTTGGGTTAAATAATTGTACAGTATCTTTTTTGGCTAATTTTTTCAAACTTGAGATAAAAAAAGGATATATATTTCACAAGAGAATAAAAGCATGCCTTTGAAGTCTCAAATGTGCTGTTCAGCTTTTAATTTTTTTTTTTTTTTTTTTTTTTTTTTTTTTTTTTTTTTTACAAAAAAACAATATATCTTCAACCTATACTCATCTTCAACCTTTATTCAACTTTAACATTTAATAATGGCAGATGGCTATTCAAAAATAAAAAAATAATTATGAAAAAACAATTGCAAATGAATCTTGAAATTATATCAAAGTTTAGCACAATATAATTTTGACTAATACTGAAATAGTTATTGTTCGAATTGTTAAATAAATTAATTTAACTTGAAAAGGGTGGGGGTGAAGAGACTACAATAAGAGATTATGAACGAAGTTTTCCATTGATTTTGTACTCCATGAATAAAGGAAAAACGATATATGAAGCCAAAATTTTGATTATATGATGATCAATTTAATTATGAAATCAAACAAAATATAAGAATTTAATTAATTTTTGAACCAGAAGAATGAATGTTGTAGGTTGAACATGAAGGTTTTAGATAATATAGGTTGAAGATGAATAATATAAGATATTTTTATTCAATTGTATAGAAGAAACCAAAAAAAAAAAAAGCTTTTGAACAAATTAATTTAACCAAACTAGAATTAATGATTTGATGACTATTTAATGACTAGACTTGATAATTGTGTAATGACTAGACTTGACGACTGTGTAATGACTAGACTTGATGATTGTGTAATGACTTGATTACTACACCTGATAACTGTGTAATGACTTGATGACTGTGTTAATGACGTGATGACTAAACTTGATGACTGTTTTGTTGAGGTATCGAATTGGACGACTACGATTAGTCAATTAAAAAATAAACGAATGAGATTCAATCTCTTACCGTAGTCGTCCGTAGTCGACGACTACAGTATAATTTTTACTAACTCAGATCCATCAAAGTATCAAACACTAAAAAAATCATGATAGCACGTTTTAAAAGATAAGGTATTAAGTATACTATCTTTAGCCAAGCAACATAATTTACAACACATTTTCCATATCATTGACAATGAACAGATTTGAGGCTTATTCAACCAAGGAGTGTTCTATTAAGTCATTGACCAAAAATTATTACAAGTTAACATCAAGGCAACTAGTTACAACCCTCTCACTTTGATAGTGATGTTTCACACTCACAGTTCAATATTCAAATGCAATTGCATGCCACTAGAAATTATATTCACTATTACACTGCATATGATGATGCATAATGATCCGAACAGGCCATTGTTAAATTACTAAAGTTCAATGTTTAAGAAGAGTCGCAGAAAAAAAAAGTTGTTATTTGCAATATTCGAAGAAAACCAATTCTTCCCTCTGGCTAATCAAGTTTTTCGAAAGGTAGTACATGGCAATATGGCATCAATTTATAGTTGATTATAAATGCATGCATGAAAATGTAA